AACACCCAGAGCCAAATTTATGAAATCAATGCCATGACATTCAAGTTTATTTGGGCATGCATGTTGCTCTTGTGAACGTCTATCATTCACCCATGACATTATGTGAACGCATCTCATGTCAACGAAGTCTTGGCTTGAGTGCAATTATGTCAAATTAAATGTCAAGGATCACGAATTAAAGGATATAAATATTAAACGTTAAGCATTCTAAAATATATCAATTACTAATATTTCATCAATGAAGAAGAACCAAACGAAATCCTTTTCAATCCATGACGGTTTACACAATTCTTATACTACTGCAGTTGTGCGTATAGCCATTTATAGCATCAAAATATTTGAAGGCATTCCAAAGGCGAGTTCTAAAATTAAAGTTGAGTTACTTGATTGGCACCCAACAAGTTCATTCCGGGATTTTACACAAATTACTAAAATACCTGTGCTCGAATAAAGGCTATTCCATATCATTTGTTTGTTCGGAATTGTTTAAGAATATTATTTGTCTATTAAAAAATGTCCAAGCTGTTTGTTCCTGTGTTGATTTAGCATGAACAATTTTACGCGAAGTGGTGTTATGGGCTTGAGGACGACAAACATAAAGGCGTAAGTCGACATTATGAAGGTAGGACGTATATGTATATATACGTTTAATATGTATATACACGTATATATTGTGGCATATGTCATTGCTTAATGAACTTGGTGCACTGGCCGTAATCTCCTGTAATATCTACACGGCTTTTCGCTCGCGTAAAGTGATGCTTCTGTTTTATACGGAGGAACATTGATTCATTGTGATGTTCGTAGCGATTGGCGTATAAAATGTGGTTTGACGAGCTATTAAAACAACATTTTTGGCAAAGATTTAGTACATTATTTTGATCTGTCTTAGTAATTTCTTCAGAATAAATCAAATTCTCAAACGCATATATTTGTCCGTATGCAGACTCTCTCGTATATTTGGGCAGATTAACAACGAAGAAATATCCAAATGAAGGAACTTTTTATTTATCTCCTCGTAATAATTAAGATTTACGATTTGCAAGATGGCGCCAAGTCCTGCCTATATGAGAGAACCACCTTCGTTGGTACGGTGCTTGCTTATCGCGTCGTCTAAGATAGCTGCGATAACAACGCGAGTCTTATTTTGTTATTTAATCTATGATATTGTCTATTCCTATATTGATCTTTAGGCCAACAAATCAATAATGCCCTTCAATTTCGTAGATATGTAAATTAGTTTATGTACCGCGTGAGTTCGACGCATTTTAGTTACATTGCATTACATGTCAGTGCACGGAGCCGCGAAAGCGAAAGCGCAAAAGGATTAATTTTAATTTCGATTGTTATACCTAAAACTTTTCCCCATCAAACCCAAATTATAAATTATTGATAATTGTTATTTTAAAGTCAACCGTTTGAATGACTTTTCTAACAATTAATAAAAAAGCCTCTGTAATATAACTACTATTGATGAAATTAAATACAATGGAGTTCTACGAACGAGAAAGCATAATGTTGAAATGTTGACATCCTCTGTTGACCTCTGGACGCCAAACGCCCACACAATCGACGTACGATAACAAGTTGCAATGACGTCATGACAAAGGCTTCGCGTGCGTCCAAGCGTGCAAGACTGATTAGAAATACTCACTATTATACGGTCTTCTCATAGATATACAATGAATTATAATTAAATCTCTTACAGAAATGTCTTCATGATAATTTTAGTTTGGTTCGTTCCAATAACATCGAATTAAAAAGCGAAATTTAAATTTTACGCCCAATTGCATTACTGGGAACTTTTCCCGTTTTCCGCATTTAATTAAGCGAAAACGTTATAACATTTGAAATACCGTACACTTTATTGTCATTAAATTCGGTCTTTAGACGTTCAAAGTAACAGTTTTTCCTCACTAAACGTACTTCATTCTTTTGTTACAAAGGCCAACCGAATTCAAATTGCGAATTATGTGAATAGAATCATTACAAGTTTATAATATATTAGTGCTTCACTCACGCAATGGTTCGTCATCTCTGCGGATATAATCAGTGTACACTGTAACACTGTACACTGCAACAGTGTGCACTATAACACTGTACAGTGCAACACTGTAGGCCTACACTGTAACACCCCTGTACACCTTAATACTGTACACTGTAACCAAATACCAGGATACCCAGTACACTGCAACAGTGTGCACTGTAACACCCGTGTACACTGCAACAGTGTGCACTGTAACACTGTACAGTGCAACACTGTACACTGTAACAACACTGTACACTGTAACACTGTACATCGTAACACCCTTGTACAATGCAACAATGTACATCGTAACACCCCTGTACAATGCAACAATGTACATCGTAACACCCCTGTACACTGTAACGGTGTACACTGTAACACTGTACACTAACACTGTACACTTTAACAGTGTTTACAAGCTACACGTCCCCGACGTCTGGTGAATTGTCTCAAGAGTCGCGTCGAAGATGATTAATAATTCTGATATAATCAGTGTACACTGTAACACTGTACAGTGCAACAGTGTGCACTGTAACACTGTACAGTGCAACACTGTAGGCCTACACTGTAACACCTCTGTACACTTTAATACTGTACATTGTAGTAGCCCTGTACACTGCAACAGTGTGCACTGTAACACGGTACAGTGCAACATCGTAGGCCTACACTGTAACACCCCTGTACACCTTAATACTGTACACTGTAACCAAATACCAGGATACCCTGTGCACTGCAACAGTGTGCATTGTAACACCCCTGTACACTGCAACAGTGTGCACTGTAACACCCCTGTACACTGCAACAGTGTGCACTGTAACACTGTACAGTGCAACACTGTACACCATAACACCCCTGTACACTGTAACACTGTACATCGTAACACCCTTGTACAATGCAACAATGTACATCGTAACACCCTTGTACAATGCAACAATGTACATCGTAACACCCCTGAACACTGTAACGGTGTACACTGTAACACTGTACACTAACACTGTACACTTTAACAGTGTTTACAAGCTACACGTCCCCGACGTCTGGTGAATTGTCTCAAGAGTCGCGTCGAAGATGATTAATAATTCAGTCCCTCGTCCTCGACAAAAAGATCTACTCTGTATTTTAATTTCATTTAAATGCTCTGAATAGAGAACACTTTTTACCCAGCTTTCATTAGAGGCTGTTTAATTACTGAGATGGAATAGGTAGAAAAAGATTTATGCAGCAAAGGACATAGAACATAATTAAGAAATTTGCATTCAAAATGTATTTCTTCCATTACTACGAGAAGCTAGCGATTAATTGGTCAACTTATTATTATTTATTTACATTTTATAGTCTACGAGGTTACATTCCATATTTAAAGTAAATTCACTCTATAAAAATTTATATAGTTTTTGCCCGATATAATTCAGGTTTTGATTTCAACGTCAGAGATAATTTGCAGTGTCTTGATAAGGCAAGAACTTGGAATTTGAACGAAATAGACTAAAATTTGATCCAGATATAATACAGTAAATTAATAAACTTTTAAAAAACTTTGTGAGAAAACAAGCCATTGACAAACCTATATGAAACAATATATAACTGACAATATTTACGCACGAACAACAAGGGACTATATAGCACGATGCTCTCACGGGGTGGACTGAGTTGAACATTGTATGATTTCCGAAGTGTTCAGGTGTCCTGCACCAAGTGTTCCAGCACAAGTGTTAGCTTCGCTACAATGAGCCTCACAGCTGCTACATTGTGTTTCAGTCTGAGAGTACAGCCTTTGGTCGCATTACGAACTAGTCTGAATGTACAGCCTTTGTTTGCATTACAAACAATTTACCAGGTCAGCTGTTCTGTCCCATGGCTCCATTACGTGAATGGATCTCCAACAGCCACCTCAGCGTCGCGATAGCAACTGAATCCATTCCAGCAACCTGGTCACGCCACGTGCATTTGAGATTACCTGGCTCAGCGATAACGGCTGCAAGCCTTGTGGGAGTCGTATTTAACATGCGTAGTGGATGCATAAAAATTGAATTCTTCATTATCAATTTGAGAAACTTTGAATTTTACTTAGCCCATCTAATATCATGATATAAATGAAACATTTTAAAATAACTTATTGTAGTTCTTCACAATTTATTTGATGCTATAATGTTAACATATAGTTCTTAATCATTTTTTATAGCTATTTATTGATAATATTTCCTATTCGGGATAGGAAGCTTGGAGCAAATAAATCTGTATGCTAATTCCAATATTACTGCAATAGTTAAAAACACAGAAATCCGGTTTACAAGAATCGCATAGGGTACGAATTTTAGTTGTTTCGCCCTGATAGTAAACGATACAGTCCGTCCGTGCGAGGTTACCGACACGCAAGCCTCAAATTTGTGAATGAAGCATGCGCATTGATTTCGCCTCCAGGGCTGCAGAAACAAAAGGCGGCTAAGTAAAGATTGTTTAAGCGGTGTTTTTAAAGAAGATATTCTTCACTCAATCGAAGGTAGCAAATATATTCTATATTTTTAGAGTATGTGTGTGGAGGAGGGCAGATGCCGAAAATATAAGGGTAGGCTACGAACCGTAGCCACAATATTTAACGTTTTTGGAAATTAATGTACGTAAACATGGGGTAACTTTTGGCACTCACTAAAATCTGATAAATATCTGATCTGATAAATATCTGATATTGTTATTTGGACAATTCCCAATTAACGCAGAAAAATATAACTCATTATATTTCTCTGCGTGTGGTTGAGAATGAAGACGGCCAAGATTCATGTATATACTAGAGGTTCAAAGCGAACCATTATATACTAGAGGTTATAATGGTTCGCTGCATGGTACCTAAATCTGTGTGAATTATGACACATGCCAAAGCAGATGCATTTTATTCACCGCGTCAACCCTGGACGAAACAATCATCATAGAAAGTTATACACAAATGTTTATTTGTTTCTAAAACATTCTATCACGAAAAGTTTTTAAAAATTGTATTATTATCTATATGTTTAACTTAAGTTACTTGAAGCAAAAATTAAATTTAGTTCAAAACTTGTTGTAACATAATTCATTTCAAATGTCTTTCTTCGATAACGATCTTAACCAATATTGCGATACATATATTCTACTGACGGTAACTCTTGATACCAGGTATTTACTTTGTATAGGAATGGCATTGGTTCGTTCATCTATAAAAACCAACGATTTCTATGAGATTAATCAACGATTTCTATGAGATTAATCATTCTCAATCTATGAGATTATCCAACCCAAGCATTTTTGAGATTAATTTGCTTGGTTATTTATAACTACAAAAGTCATATAAGTCAAACATTGGTTTATCAAAGGCATCCATACACAATATAACTAGCATGTTCTTAAAACACACGGAGAGCATCTAGTTAAAATGCCATATAACAAAATTTTTGTATTAATTATATGCTGTTAAATGTATTTAGCAGCAATAAGTAATCCAAATGTTTTGAACAGTTTCATATTACCTTGCCAGATTTTGCTTACCGCAGTAGATGAAGACTTAAAATTTCCTCAATACTAATGAATTAAAATCGTGCATAATTTATAAACATTATTTTGCAGATTCTATTCCAAAAACTCGTTGAACTCATTCACCGCTCGGGTCGCAGGGACCGAACTTCCCCCATCCTCAGCTCCTGCGGCGTCACGGGATACACGATCCTGTCAGACAGTAAACTTTTATTCCTGTAGGTAGCAATAATCGTAAGAAATAAATTTCGTACCTTATTGAAATAATATATTTGATTCATGAGTTAGTTTATCTCTAGCAGTATAGCTTACCTGTGATCATGCCAACTATTCAAAGGTGACTGCTTTAATTCAATTAACTCTTCTTTAGTGTTGTAAAAACATCAACATTTTTGACTTCGGTGGCTTGAGAACAAGACATGGTTATAGGTTCACATACTATACCGTGCTATGCCCGGTAGTAGGCTTGATCTTTCATAAATTCGAACTTAAAACATACATTCAACCTCAGTTGTTTCATTTATAATTCATCAGCGCATGCGTCTCAGGTAACGAAGTACAGGATTTGAGGTTCCCAATATGAAATCGCAAGATGAATGTCTAAACATGACACCAGCAAGACGATCATCACATCATGATACCAGCAAGATGATCATCTCAACATGATACCAGCAAGATGATCATCTCAACATGATACCAGCAAGATGATCATCTCAACGTGATACCAGCAAGATGATCATCTCAACATGATACCAGCAAGATGATCATCTCAACATGATACCAGCAAGATGATCATCTCAACATGATACCAGCAAGATGATCATCTCATCATGATACCAGCAAGATGATCATCTCAACGTGATACCAGCAAGATGATCATCTCAACGTGATACCAGCAAGATGATCATCTCAACGTGATACCAGCAAGATGATCATCTCAACGTGATACCAGCGAGATGATAATCTCTCAACGAGAGCAGTAGGGCGGGCGACTGAAACCTCGCAGAGGAGGAAGGATTACAGGAGGTCGTCGGGCGCTGCGATGATTCCCAAGAAATTATAATGATTATTTTCACACATACAGAATAAATAATGAAGAAACTTACTTCTCGCCAGTGGCGAGGAACTCGACGACAAGGCTCGAGAGGTGTACGACGGGCGACTGGAACCTCCACAAGAGGAAGGATTGCAGGAGGTCGTCGGGTGCGGCGAACTCTACGACCAGCGCCTGCAGACGGCCGATGTCGTCCAACGCCGTGACTATGGAACGAGAGCTCCCGGGCGCCAGAAACATCGTCCTTCAACACAATACATCGTTCCGTCGTTATCTTACGAATTTTTTTAACGTGTTTTTTTTTTGCTTTGGAAAGAATGCAAAACGAATTTACAAATTTATGATATATATAAAATATAATTGAATCTTCAAGATTATTTTTCACCTACCCGTGGGATGGCATACTGAAGGAGGCGCTGCTGGAGGAGGCTCGTAGGATGATGTTCAGACGCAGCACTTCGCCGCCGTGGCGGTACGACGCAGCGCTCGATGACGAACGCACCGTCACCCGCACCTGATGACCTTTGCAGCACACAGAGAAATTCATGGGACTTTGACCAAATTGCGATTGAAGTTCACCCTCATGTGGGTCATCTTAACCCCATTTGACCCGGAAAAAGCAAGCAGTTACCCGGGGCAAGCAGTTTGACCCGGAAAAAGCAAGCAGTTTGACCCGTTACACGCAGCACAGGCGTCACACATCAAGTGCGACGCGCGAGCGTCGAGTGACTAATCGACCGTCGACAGCAACAATGCGAAGACAGTTAGCTCAAATTGAGAAAATAAATTAATATTTCAGCGTATAAAGAAACTGTTTAATTAGGATTATTATGAATTGATAAATAAAATTATTTAGCAGAAACAACCAGAGCGTAGTACACCATGAATCGTACCATTAACCTGCAGTTTTGAAACTACGATGAACGATACACCAACGTAACGAACATGAGTGAGAACATGAAATTTTCAGATGAATATATGAGGAGCTTGACGTGTGAGACAAGTGCGATTTATCTAGTCGGCTACAACAATGATCGAAATGATAAGTTTTGGATCAGTAAAAGGATGTTCATCGATGACATAAGAATACGTTATAGCAAAGCGCAAGACAATGCTAGTGTGCTTAATGGAATTTTCAAAACAATATCAATTAGTAACCTGAGTTAGATGAGATATTCGTTCACCTGACAGAGAAACAATTTTGACACAGCTTCTCTTACCACAAAAAGGGGATCCGTGTCGAGTGGCAAGGAACATTTTCTTGCTCCGAGTTGCACGGGAGTTAAGTCTTTGTTGATACAGTGTCTTCGGCGATGTATTGTATGCCAGTTTTTTCTCGGCGGAGGCGACGACATGATTGATAGTCAAGTCTCTCCGGCTTCTAAAGCGACGCAATTCTTCAGTCAGGTTAATGAACTCTTGAAAATTGTCGGTAAATCTATATTCGCTGAAATTACCAGCTTCTGCCTCCGGATAATCATTCGGGAAAAGAAACGGGTCATGTTCAACTTCCGTTAGTTGTATCTCTGTTTCAAAAATGGCTCCTTTCACTGCGCTGATGAAAGCTTCAATGGAATCAGTGATGCTTACGTCTGTTTCTATATTTTTATTTTTGCTTTCATAGCTGAAAGTATGATTAATAGTTTCAGTTGGACGGAAATTAGCGGTGACTTTACGTCCTGGCGTTGCGTGATACCCCATGTATGCGCAGAAATTTTTCGTGCAGTCCCAGCAGAATCCGTTTTGGTAATTCTCCCAAGACGAACATTCTACGGCCACGAACGAACAACTGTGTGCAGAAGGAGAAATAATTGTTAGAGGAGAATTTGTTTCTAATTCATGTCAATAATAAAAGAGGGTTGTCAGCTTGAAACGTTGGAAACAAACGATTGCTGAATCAAGAATGAAGAGTGTACATAATTTTCTAGTATGGAAGGGTTTACAAATTCAGCCAGAAACTTTTAACGTTTTTTGGCGTAAAAATTTAATCCTCAAATATTTTTAAAGTTGCGTCATCGATTGCAAAGATTGAAAATTTTCATCAATTTGTAGCAAATGCTAACCGAGTTACATAAAATCCCATTTTAACTTGCGTTTCATGAAACTTTCCTTGAAAATAAATCAGCTTGGCTCAAGTGAACTCGCAACTTTTTTATTAAATTAAACAACTACAGCGCAAAAATAAGAAAAATAATTTCTCTTGAAACAGAAATATTCGCACGCGTTGGCAATGGATTCAAGGAAGTAGTGAACTGATCTCTGATGATGACACCCCATGAAGTCGAGGAGGCCGGTCTTCAAGTCTCTCTGGTTGAGGACAAGTTCTTCCCCCAGTGACGAAGAGCATCCGGGCTGCTGGCTGCCCCCGTTTGGGTAGAAATCCACATGGCCCAGGGGATCGGGATTCCCCAAGCCTGCACCAGAAATGGAATATTTTTTTCTGCAATGTCTTGATTCTAAGAATATTTACTGAATTTAGAACTTTTTAAAGTATTGAAGGGAAAGCAATGTGAGCTACCCGATCTGAAACGATCATTTCTTCATTTCAGACTGATCGCTTAGTGTTACTACATGGAGCTGTGGTTATTCTTGTAAACTTATAGCACTTTTTTAATAAAAAACTGCAAGTTTCAATTAAGTTATATGATAACAAGCAGCAATTCATGGTGAAATAATTACAAATTCACAATAAGAATCGAAACAAATTAGGTACGTACTCATAGGGATGCCAGGAAGAATTTCATTTGAGTCAGTGTGTATGACGTCCACATACTCTGCATCGCTGGGATCCAGCCTGACAAGAGGGTCGACGTTACGGAAGAACGGTCCTGCAGGATCGAGGGCTGTGATGCGTCCTACAAGACTTGGTTTGTCTCCGAACGTTGAAGTGTACGAGCCTGCATAGCCCATGAGGTGAGAACCGAGGCTGTGGCCCACCAAATGGAATGAAGATCCGTTGAGACTTAGAACTTCCTGTAATAAAAATTTTAAAATACATCAAAAATTTTCTTACGAATATTCTAATTATGTAGATCTAGAATAAAACTGTTGACTTCATATTTGTTCCTCACGTCGAAGTTGAAATATTTCCAGCTTGATCCTAATAACTATCAACTTGTCTTAAATCAATAATTGCCTGCATTCTCATGATGAGATGGCCAGTCATGGCTCCCACTAGTCGCGCGTTGGCCACCGCCTGCGCGTAGGGTGACTGGGCACCCACACGCCAGTCTACCACCACCACCACCACGGCCTCCTCCTCTTCCGGATTGTCTTCTATGCGATGAAGTCCTTTAGATAGTGGCTGGGTTCTCAGCAGGGACTTCACCATCAGCCCAACCCATGGTGTGAGTCCAGACTCAATGAACCTAAAAACTTTAGTGCTATATGAGATTATCCCAGAGAGATTGTGTCTTGTTGGTGCGAGGAATAAATGGCTTTGAAGGAAGTTCTTTAGATGATTGTGGAAATTAAGATTTTTTGGATAGTTTCATATTAGAAAAATGTAGAATTGATAGTACAATATCCAAATATTTTATTTATAAGATCAATCAATAATAATAGTCAAACCTATCACTGAAGACTGATTGAATGAGGCATAATGAATGAAGAAAAATGAAGCAGCGAGACTCATTGTTCTATATAATCAGACCTATCTGCGGCTACGATCTGTCCAAACCACGTCGCCGACCTTCGTCATTATAATTAATCGAAGAAGAAAGAGCACCGACCGATCAAAAATGCATGGTGTGTACTTCTTTCAATCTTACCATATATGACCGGATCTATCATTCTATCGACCATTGCCTTCCCTCTGATAAATATATATACATAATTAATGGTTTTACGATGCACAAAACTTCAAGCACCCATCATCATCAAACTTAGCCATCATGAATTATTTGAGAGGCAAGAGTTGAGTGCGGAATAGCGCTAGCCACTGAGCTGCGTTCATCACTATATTGACCACGCAGAGGTGCATGCACGGTGCGCTCGACCATTACCCGTGGGCGATGAATACCACTTGAAGATGTGGCGACAACGCAAGGCCATTCAACCAAGTCAGGTTCTTCTCATCGATTGCCTGTGGTAAACAAAATTGCGAGAAACTCGTATTATAAAAGGAACATTTTTATCATAATTATAAAATTATTCACTGTAATTCAGGTTTTTGTTGTACGAGCAAGAATTATTTAAAATAATGGTACTAAATTATTAAATTTAACGAGCATTGATCGTGCATGTCGGAGTAAAGAAGATTGAAGACATCATGGAATTTGCAGCTCGTCCTTTTACATATGTGAATGATTCAAATCATTATTTCGTACCGTATTTAGTTTTATTAATGATAATTTTGGTGTAATGTCGGCCAATCATGACAAACATTCTTTCAAGCGCATTTTCTCAAATTTATGGAAAAATGGCGCTATTGTGCTCGTCATGTCCGTCCGTCCGTGACTTCACATTTTCTCATTGAGAAAATGCGTTTCCTGTGACTCACTGCAGAGCATTGAGTGCTGATCTAATTTTTTTCATGAACTTATTTTTTTAATGATCAGATTTAGTGTGGGATAAAATATATAGTTCTATAACCTTGCAAAGAAATTTTTTATAGTTTCGATTCACACTTCATAAATTCCGGATTTTAATCTGCATTTTTCATAAAATATCGTGGCCCAGAGTCCCTGGTAATGTTCATCCGAGATGCCGGGTGACAGAAAAAAATAACTATTTTAGCCCATTTTTGCATTTATGGAAATAAGCGCTATTGTGCTCATCATGTCCGTCCGTCCGTGACTTCACGTTTTCGTCGATTTAAGAATAGCACTGCACTAATCGCAATGAAAACTGATTTATGCACGAGAAAATGGGCTCTCTGTCACCCACTGCAGTGGGTACTGATCTCATTTTTAGCGCATTTTCTCATTAATGGAAAAAATGCACTATTGTGCTCGCCATGTCCGTCTGTCTGTCCGTCCGTCTGTCCGTCCGTGACCACGTTTTCGTCGACGAGAAAATGCGCTCTCTGTCACTCACAGCAGTGAGTACTAAGTTATATTTTTTCAATTAAATAGGATCAAATATCCGGAATCCAGGTTTTATAACGAATCAAAAACTAAAACTCGAATAAAAAACTTGAAACGGTAGAACTATCACATCTCCCTCAATTAATCGTTGCCCAGAATTCAAACGCTAAACTTCCTTTTCTAGTGTCTCTAGAAATTTTATGTGTATGCGTTTTTTCGATTGAGCCAATGAGTAATTAACTCGGAGCAAAATTAACGGTTTCCGTTTGTGTTTTGCCATTGCTTAACTAAAATAAAAATAAATTATCTTAAATCGACAAATAATATGTGGTTACTATGCACCATTTCCATACAGTTACACTAACAAGTGATAAAGGGACTGAATTCTATAGAAATTATAATTTCCGAATTTAGAAGCCATATTAATAACGGTCGAAGATGAAAGCCGAGTTCAATTCAATAACGTAATTAATCTCTTGTTATGCTTATCAGAAGATTCGTATGTCTTTCTTTCTACGAGGTCTGACACTGGCTATAAGTAGGGGCTATTCGGTCGCCTGTTAACAATAAAGTACACTGCTCTAAAAAACAACAAATCAGAGACCAGTGTTTCCATGAGTGAATTAATATATTAATTCATCCGTGAGTGTTTCCATTGGCGGGCCGTCCCGTGAAATTCATGGTTCGATTGTCATGTGGTGGTAAAAAAAAGACGTGGTTTAATTTCAGAAGGAGGGGCATGTCAAAGCTCAAAAAATACAAATACAATTAGAATAATGACCAAAATACTCATATATACGATCTATTATTAATTGATTGGAGCTGATTTCATAGTTTTGGATTGATGATGGAGCTGATCTCCGAAACGTTTGCGCTGAAAATATAGTGAATTTTCATTGCATTCCGATTGTAGATGAATTAAATCATTCAATTGGGTCAATTTACAAACTAATTTTACATGGGTGAAATAATATTTGCTTCACTGAAATTTGTGATCTCAAGTTTTTGATTGATACAGTTTGCCTAATATTGATAGTTTTTTGTAACAGGATAGACGATAACATAGAAAACGAAGAACATTGACTGCTTAGACTCAAAATTTTATGTTTCTATGGAATTATAAGATGCATATTGCATTACGCAATATGCATGATCGCATCTAACATAATGTTGTAAGTTCGTTAGTTTTTCATTATTGTGTTCGAGTGCATTAATGCGTCAAACCACAAATTTCGTTCATGTAACAGCCTAGCAAAATTATCCGTAAATTTTTGTTTCCGAACATGAAAAACTCAATTTTCTGCGAAAAATCATAACTACCGGCGGCCGGCCCGCTCTCTCGCGACACTGCCCCCAGTACTATATTAGCCTTAACTTAAATATTTTCGTAAATAATTTATTTTGGCCCGCCCATACATTTGAAATGGTTAAAACACTCTTATGATGAGATTATCAGCATAACTATATTGATAGTAGATAATCATCATATCAATACTTTATGATATCAAGCAAATGTTCCAGGAACTACTTCTTTGAGTGGTTTCGTTCGTCTTTCGGTCTGCAGGAGCCAAGGGAGTAAGTTCATAAACAATGTGTGAAGGGAGGTGAATAGTAGCATAGAAAATATATGGAAAGGAAGGTGTCAACGACCATAATAGCTCTTAATTCGAGAACATTTTTCGCCTAATGCATTATTATTTATTATGAAATTATGCTTATTAAGAGGGGCGACACCATGATGCATATTGCATCATCATGATGATGATCATGGCAACAGGCCATGGGCCTATTTCTTCAACGCCGACACTTCTATTCTATTCTATGAATGAAGACATTGATACGAGTAAAATTTAGACGGGATCAGAAAAAAGGTCGACAACAGAAGAGGCGGCACCAATAGTGGCGACACTATATGGGCGATGTCGTGAGAAGTGACACAAAAACTTCAAAAAAGGCCACCCGGAGGCATGGAACGATGAGTGAGATAGCATACACCGAGAGGAGCAGCAATAAGACGACGCCAACAGGTGTTAAAAACTTAAACCAATAGGGGAAACACAAAGTGTAGAGAAATTAGAGGAAGATTTTAAATGGTCTTGAAAGATTGGATAAAACATGACCAAAAATCTAACCTAATAGTGCAAATTACAAATAAAAGAATTAATCAATGTTATTTATGTCATTCTATTTATTTAACTTATTTTATCATTTGAGAGAAGATGTTTGAAAAATTAATTTTAATGGGAACACACACGGCCGAGTGAGACCCGTTTTGCCCCTATGCCTCACCATGCCTTCAGAAATTGTCCGCGAATAAAAACTGAAGTTTGGCGCCACGATATGGGTCGGCAGAGGCGGCAGCGCCACTGGTCTGTCTGCTGACACCCAAGGCGGAGCGAGAGGGAAACAACCGTACGGGGGGCGGCAGTCAGGACCTTCTTTGAGGAATTAGTTATTACTTTCGAAAGTTATTGATTGAAGATAATTGATCATAAGTTCTCTTAGTACGTTTGTATGAATAATATTGAACAGCAGTTAGTTGCGGCAGCATACGAATCAAATTTCAAATGAAATATTCTTAGTTGAATAATATGCCTTGTGACCTGTGAAACATCGCAGTCGACCTAATCAAGTACAAATGTGAAACTAAAATTATTAAATATTAAAAAACTTTCAAACTTGGAGGAAAGCAGATTGTTGTTTTATTTTGAACAGATCGCAAAATCGAGACCTCGTCGAGGCATGGCAGAAATTAAATATCATGGTGATTAACTTACGCTCATCATTGACTTTTTGGAGAAGTTTAGGGTTCCAACTATTATCTCCCATAACTGCACGAATCACATATGCAACAAAAAAGATAAAACGATTCCCCTCCATTGTTCCAAAGAGAATCGTTTAAAATCTCTTTTCCTTATATCAGTTATATGTATCTAATCAAAGACATTTAGAAGGCTGGCTCACGAACAGAAGAACGAAAAATATTTGCTATTTTCGGGTGTCGCATTATTCCGTTTCAAGCTATTCACTTCGTTCAAGTTCTACATACGGTAAGCACGAAACCAACATCCACATAACATTGAAGCTTTCGACTGAAGAAACCTACTAAATGTTGTCCAATAAACAATGTGTTCAAGAGGAGCGGGCCCTTGATTTCTTATCAGGTCTTATAATATCTGCGTCTAATAAGACCATAAGATACAGAGGCCAAGTAGCAATCGAAGTGGATTGCTAACTCATGATAGTTCGTTTCTTGTTTTTGTAAATAATATTTTACCTGTTGCGAACGTTTGTATTTTCCCTCCCTGATTCTATATTTTATTCATACTGGCGCAGGTAATGGAAGCAAAATCACGAGAACATGAATGAAGTACTTATCCTACCACCAAAAAACGGATTGACTCACTTCTTCAGAGGTCTCGGACAAATTACGGGAGCGCAGCCGTGGAATTACGTGTCAGTTGAATATCTGGCGGTTAACGCCAGCTTTATATAATACGGTATGCAATAATTTCCAGACTATTTACAAACTATCAAGATTAGAGCCTTATGATCGCCGCACCATGTTAGTATGCACTTGCATATTTTGAGTAGGTATTTTCCTTAGCATGCATTATCATCGGATATTTACGCTTCTACTGAACTGAGCTAATGGTTCTTTCTCAAAAAGACTTATCATTGGGTTGGATTTTTGGATTAGGAGGCCGGACTACCGCCGCCCGCCGGAGCGAGTAACTAGTTGAATGTAAGCAGTCACGTGGGAAGGGGCTGGTTGTTTATGATCAGAATACCGGGTAATTTTTTAATAATATTTCGCTTGCTGTCCAAACTGTGCGTTAGCATAGGTATTTGTGGAGTGGTCGCCGCGCAGGAATTACTGTAGCGCTGGCATCAGCGCATCCCGACATAAATTGGTGCCGTGAAAACGTGACCATCATTTACCTGCACTGCAGTTACCGGTGAGAGTTTAATGGTAGTGTCAGTGGAGAATTTAAGAGATTCTCCAATGAATTGAACCGGATCACAGTGTATTTTTATAATATTTATTAACGTTCCGTTTATTTTTCACATTCATCGCCCATATCAGTGTTGCCATTGTTGCATCAAGAAATAAGACAAGAAGCAACGAATAAAGTAGGTAATATGGACATGGGTAATATTGAACATGAATAATGAGTAGGTATTAAGAATGCGGGTCAAAACGATATAGCAAGTGTGTAAGGCGCGGTTGTTTCGAGACCGTGGGAAGAAGTTAGTTTACATTGAACGTTGGCGAGCTCAGCGCGAGGGACATTCCAGTCGAAGAATGTGGCGTCACTTCGAGGGAATAGGCTTAACTGTGCGCGACACTAGCGTATATAAGGACCTTAAAATTCGCGCCAAAGGCTGTTCTACGGAGGTGACCGTCACGCAAGCCCGGTCTGCTGTCAGCGGACTTCGCAACGGCCGCGGCCGTGAGGCCGCCGGCTTCGCCGTTTTTCGAACATTGCACCCTGCAAGAAACCTTGACTCATCGAGGCAGCGACGATTTCTGTAAGCACGCCTAAAATCTACAAAGTACGATCGACATCAACCGTACGGGTGCTACTCGGCCGTGAGACAATGCGAGAGGCCAGGAGACGTTCTACAATTATAAGGTCGGCAATAAGAAGACATATGTTTTCAAGCACCGAGCTCTACACCAGGAATTATTTTCAGTACGGTCATCAATACGAGACGGTCACTATTCGCATCTATCCTGAAGTACGGTCGTTGTAAAACAACCTACGGCCAGACTGACCGTGAGGCATCAATATCAGCAAGATACGACGGTTATGAAGAACAGCGATCGCGAGGACGCGCGGCTACAGCGGCAGTACGACCACATGGAATACGGCTGCAAACGTGCGGCTACAGATGCGGTACGGTCGCCGAGCCTACGGACGTAGTGTGCGTGTATTATACGGTCGTTTGCAACGGACGTACGGCTCAACGTAACTGCAATTTATCAACGTTCTGTAAATAGAGAGATTTTAGTGATGTACACTGGTAGGTTCTCAGTTTTGATAGTGTTCAGATTACCTTTTTTATGTACTAGAGATTTTTGTTAACGTAGGATGTGAACTTGAATTTTTAAATTTAATATTAAATGCATCAGTGTTTCATTACAACCTTCTCTTTTTACTATTTTTGCCGTAACCTTTCCAAAAGAGAACCTTTTCATACGTGCCTATCAAGCGCCACTCGGCGTCAACCTGACAAAACGATTAGTAATGAATATCCTGAACCTGAACATAACGTAAAATTGGTGGAGTAATCACTTCGAGTGTCCAACTTTAAAATATATGACATGATAGAAACTACTATTTACTTTTTTTCGTATTCTAATCAGCCAAAGTAATAGTCAAGAACCAAGTAATAAACACGAAGATGGAGAATCGGAAAATAAAGTGAGATGACTTGAAAAAATTTGTTAGTTTGTGCGATGGGGAGGTAAGCAAAGAATTTCAGACAACCGGTAGGATAACATCATTATCAATGTAGAACTTTTTTTTTCAAACGAGGCAATTCAGCGAAATGGAAACATGCCCAAACTGACAACCAGATGAGAGCCCGAAGCAACTTGCGGATATAGGCGGACAAGATTGTAGGATGATCGGCCAGGTGGAAGCTAATTATTGATCAAATTTACATTGTTTTCTTTCTTGCGGGTCGCCCGTCCATTTCTTTCACAGCTGCCGGACGAATTTCCGACGCAAACTGCAAAACAAAAGTACAAAGAATAACGTTGAGCATTGGTTAAGAATTGAATCCAACAGAAATCATAGACGGTATTCATATACCAACCAGCAAAATAAAATATTTTGATTTTGAAACATGAGCAAATTTAAAGATTTTGCTGGCGACCCGTTCAATTTCCGCACCCGTGTCGCTGGTGCGGAAATTGAACGAGTTACTTTAACATTATACGTCATATTTTTGAAGATGACGGAGATTGCCTAAATTGAATTGAATCAATATTTTTTTCTAATTATGGTCACTAACGTATATTGGTCGATGCCGGATCAATCGCATGATGTTCCATTTAGTATTATAAGTTACTTTTGTGTTGCATTACGCGGGAATTCAGTTTCGAAGGAAGAACCTTTGAATTACCCTTTCCCACGTAGCAAGCAGGCTAATATGTGTGATCATATAGTGCGTTTTGCATATTTTCTAACCTTTTAATTCATCACTTTAGTATTGATGATGAAATTATTTTTTCTTCATTAAAACTTGAACGGTGTAATCACCCAATTTGTTCTTACTTTTTGAACATCATTCAAAATATAGAATTGAAGTTGCAAACATTTTTTTATTGAACATGCGCGGTGAGTCAGTATTTGTAGAATTGTTGTCAAGACAACGCAGGCAATGCAGCGGTGACTAAAATGTTGTTGACACGACTGTCGTAATAATCTCGCAATAATCATCATATTAATTAATCAAAGAACTTAATAAGTTATTAATTATAAAACTTACTAAAACAATTAAAATCTTCAATGAGAATAGGAGTAACGGATGTCAGCTGATCATGAGCGAGATACTGCATGGAAGTTCAGGCCTCAGCTGATCATTCCTGTCCTGTCCTCATCGCTTCGCTTCAGTAGTGGCTGAGCGTCGCTTCGGTGAGGTGTGGTGTGCAGGCTTGATCCCACACGTCCTGTTGCTTGCATCTAATTGCAAACTTTTCCGCATTTATTCACGTTTCAATGCATCGAAAATGACTCTTACTACATTTATTATATACCGTTTTCAATGCGTGGTAGCTTGTTGCGAAAGAACATCTGATAGTGAATTTACAACACATGTACAGTCGACAGCTCATAAGCTCAACGTGTTTTGTTACTATGATCACACTAAAGCATGACTCATGCTGCCACCGCACTATGAGTCTACGACCGGTATGAGAAATGATATGTGCACTGAATTACTTTCGAAGGTCTACCGTATAGTTGCATTGGCTAGTATTTACTGTAGTTCTGCATGACTGCATCGCTTTTTGGATTTACAAAGTAGCATTATAAATTATTGATTCGCATACAATTGTTTCACGGTAGCTAATCAGGGTCGCCTCAGCAGTCAGCGTCATTTGATACAAATATCTAACTCCCATAACTATGTAATGTCGATTTTTGTACTGGAGAGATCTTACCTTTAGCCTTTAGGTGATACCTATGTGTGAAAATGGTCTATTTGTTTCATAAATGCCTATTCATTAAGCAGCAAGCTGCTTAATTGTTTTCACAGATTCTGTGCGCTGTGCCCTTTTCAATTATTGAATCAAGATTGCGTTTAATCAAGTTCAATTTATTAGAAGATTCAACAACCAATAACTGGTGTTGGATAAGAACCTAGTGCATTCGGAGGCTTTGAAAACAGACCAAATGTGATATGAAATTTTGTTCTTCAAGCAAAGTACACTTCACACTAGAAAAATTAAACGTTGCTAGTGTATGATTATGGAATCAATGACGAGACCCCAGCCCCAGGCTCAGCAGGAAATAATCGGTTCAACTGACTGGTCTGTCATTTCGTAAACAATGAAACGTATACGTTTCTGAAGTGGTGTAAATTTTATGGAAAGTTTGGGACCGTTTCTCTTGATGAAAATTAATCTCCTTCCTCAGTGTCTGCTGTGTGTTCCCGTAATTTTTTGCCCCAAATTCCTTATTCGTTGATAGGAGAATGATCTGCGCTTTTGAAGCAATACTTAATAGCTACAAACTTTTTTCAAGTAGGTAGCTTTTCAACCTTTGACTTGAACCTTATCATGAAACTGACATGTTCAAACTGTAAATTTACTTCGAGATAATCAATCAAATTATTCAAATATGACTTGGTCTATACAAAATCTTATCTAATTGCAATACGATAAAGGCA